TTTGGTTACTTTCCAAGCATGGCACTGTAAAAGCCTGTAATGTTACAAAATTACCAAATTATGACCAAATGTAACACTGTTATAACAATCTGCCCCCCCCCCCACACACAAAAGAAAAACCCCAGTGGCAGTGGTTCTTTGAGGTTTCTGGCTGTCACTGGGTGAAATTGATTGCAGAGATGTCACTGAAACCAAAAACCTCCCAGTGATTGTTTTGGTTGCTAGCAGATTTCCATGGTTACCTGTAATTTTTCATGTCAAGGATGACTCTCTAATACCAAGGTACAACGAGTTACAGTAATCCAGCTCAGTTGTAATAAAAGCATACATTATTGTTCTGAATTTATCTTTTGACAGGATGGGTTTTGACCAGCTGCCTCAGATGAAATAAGCTGGATTTCACTACTGCTCTGACTTGACTGTCAAATCTAAAATTCCTATCCATTTTAAAACCCAAATTGGTGACAGTGGACATACTGTGCTAGACTGTCCATGTCCACAGGAAAGGACTCACCGGTGACACCCAATAGAGCCATGGGGCAGGAGATATAGGGAGAAAACCAGAGGTCAGAATCAGAATACTTTATTAAACCCCAAGGAAATTATGGGGTTATAGTTGCTCCAAGACAATGAGAACAGTAGCAGATTGAACTAAATTACAAAATATAAGAAATAACGGTAATATATACAAATAACACAATTATAAATATCCAGAAAATTACAGCGATTTAATATATATGATTGACATTTTACTCTAAACAGTAAAACTTTGTTATTTTCACCCTAGAGGATGTGTAACTATTACACTGTGTACTGTGCATTAGTTGGAAGTCCACGTATTGATCAGTATAGGAGTGTTAGCATAACATACAGTATATGACATTTATGTTGTACTATTTGGAAACATTTTTCTGCAAGGCTTCCAAAAAGTCTCTGTGTGTCTGTTTATTTTACGACCACAGCAGTGTAACCAGTTGATAATGTTACAAACTTGTGACCAAATGTAACATTGAACTAGCAGCTCACTCTTACCACAAAACTTAAAATGACAGCAAGACTTTGTAACTAATATATTTCAGTAGAAAGTATAATTCATGTCTGCATCATGTATCCAAATCAAGAAAATGAGAAAAAACAAGGAACCAGAGCTTTAAAAGTACTATTGTGTTAAACATTGTATTTTAACTCAAACACTTGATTCTTTTCTAAACCAAATAGGTTTAATAGGCAAAGGTAAGAAAGTTGGTTATATAAGTAGGTTAAAAACAGTTATGCGCTAAATCTCAGCAGTTTTAATGGCTAAAATTTAAAAATGGATAGTTTTTTCACTTAATAATAGATTTAAAAATTAAATGAGTATGAAAGTCTGTGACATGCAGTATTCAAAGTTAGGTCTCCAGTGTGCACAGCAAATTGGCTTGCTCCACTATCTATCCCTCCAACCTACAAAATTTGTGCAAGTGAAAAAAAATATAATTTTTGTTCACATGGATACAAATCAGATTTGGGCCAAACCAGAAAAGTGCTGTTAATTCACAAATAAGTCCAAAACAAAGAATTCTATTGGCTCTTTAACAGCAACTGTACGACAAATCATGAAGGATCTTTTAAAGCAGCAGCAGCTGGCTTTTCCACAGACAGATGGAAAATCATGTTCAGTGGAAAGTTCCTGTCCAAAAGCAGGAATTAAAAGTTGTGACTTCATGAACTACCATCAGACTGTGTTGGGAATTTTGTGTTTTGAGTTTCATTTATAAATTCTAGTTCTTTATGTTATTTACTCAGCTTTCTCTCTGTTGCCACATTTCAGTCTGTACAAGTCATCCCATATACATTATTAATATTAATATTATTATTATCATAATCAATATTCATTTAAACAAATGATGCATTTAAACATTTATATTTCCCCATATTTTCCATCTAGTCCTTATATATTTAAGGGACCATGTAGCTTAAACATGTCTGTTGTACCAAAGTAAGCTCTGCAGACCTTACACTACTGTGTGCTCACATCCAGATTCAGACATTGCAGACTTTATGTTCTTTAACGTAGATTTTTTCGCTTGACATTTTCTCTTTCTGCAAATTTGCAGGAGCAACAAATACCAGGAGAGAAACATTGAAACGGGCACTCCACCTCTACCTCCGCGGACACAGTTTCTCATAGCAGGCAAGACTTTATTATATCTCTCAGTGGCTCTTACAGATTGCCCCTCCTCTTATGAAACCGCGCTTCCTTCTCTCACTTTCAGATCTTTGAAATTAAAGCCTCATCCAGTCTGTCATTTGACCATAAACCACAAACTAAAGGGCAGCGCGTGTTCACCAGTTTACATGGCAGTGACAGTTTTATGCACAAGATTCAGATCCAAGACAGCACCACATATTCTGATCCAAGCTTTCAAACTTACTAAGAAGTGTTTATGATGTCTGTTTTGTCAAGGATTTGGGCCAAACAAGGAAAGTGCTCCTTATTTTACAAGTCAGACCAAAACGAAGAATATTTTTGGCTTGATGATGACATTGTAACTGTACCACAAACTGGAAGGATACACAGCAGTCTGCTCCTTCTCATTTTTAAATTCAGACTTATTAAAAGTAGAATAGGAGTCAGAGCCTTCACCTTTAAGACCCCACCTCCCAGTTTGGATTTGAGAGACGCTACCTTTAAGATAAGGGTTAAAATGTTCTTTTTTGATAAAGGGTTCGATCAGGGACCATCTTTATCTTCTTGATAACCCTTTCAGGCGGCTGTTGCTGTGAAATTGAACTGAGCTGAATTGAATAACAGAAAACATTTATGAGTTTTAAAAATGTAAAGTCAAACTGGTGAACTTCACAAAACAAGTAATAACCTCAGGATGTTTAGCCCAGCCAGCAGCTGACAAACATCAATGATATGGCAAGCTCAGGCAAGGAAGAGAGAAAGACTTCTATTTTGACTTGCTATGCCTGCCTTAGCTGTAATGCAAAGCTACAGGAAGCACAGCTGTTTATTAAGAATGCCCCTTCACCCACAACAGCAGCAAGAGGTGGTGCACAGAAACAGCCATCTTAATCACAGTGCTCCGCTAACCACATAAAACACAGAACACATACAGCTGCAGTAATGTTATACAGTAACACGAAAATGGCAAATCAACACCGGATAACTGTAACTGCCGTACAGCACTAAAGCCTAGAACACATAAACATCACGTATAGTGTCCCATAAGTCATCGGGCCAACAGCAATAGATAGGTTTGCTTCTCATTAAAACTTTTCCAGTTCGATATGTTAATTTTTATGTGACATCAGCAGTTTGCAAGTAGTAATATTAAAGTATTACTACTATTAATAAGAATTGCACTTAAGAAAAAAACTGAGGGGTCAACAGAGAGTTTTCTCTTTAAACAAGCTGAGAAAGTTGATTCTGTTGATCTGAATGCAGCGTTTTCAGCAGAAGAAATGCTTTTGTCTCTCATCCGAGTGACTTCTTCAGTCTTGCCTAACTGCAGGTTTCCCCAACCTTATAAAAATTTTCATAACGAACAAAACTAGCACCTTTGACTAACGATGGGCTGTGAGGTCGGTTTCATTATGATTGGATGATTGGTATGCAGTGGCGGTCCTAGCCTGTTTGGCGCCCTGGGCAAATGGAGGGCGCCCTTACTCCCAGCAAATGGGCGATAGAAAACCGATCGGTGCCTATGCCATTCCCAATATGCGCTGGCTGATGTCGGGGCAGCTTGAGTACGAGCAATTTTGGTTTTTTTGCCGATGCCCATGATGCCGCCCCCCACCTCGATGCCGCCCCGGGCAACCGCCCGTGTCGCTGGTATCAAAAACCGCTACTGTTGGTATGCCAGTCGTCATTACCGTTGCTCATGACTTGCTCATCATTGGTCATCAGTACCATTCACAGAGAGTTAGGAAATGACTGCAATCACAGCAGTGTAGGATGGTGAAAGATTAACCCTTCTTCTTTTCTGGTTGCTAAGTCTGTGAAGATGATGTTGTAACATCCTGATGACACGCAGTTTGTCCTCCAGTAGATGATGAGACTCAAACTTTAAATACTGATCAGTATTGTTGGTTTATGGTACACACAGACTTTCAAATGTCCCCCATTGCTGATGGAAAGCTCACCATCTAAGAAAACTAGCCTGTCATTTTTTTACTCCGCCCTTGAGAACTTGATATGTTTGTCCACCAAGTTAATGAAATCAGTGAATCCTGATATGTGCTGAGGTTTGGTTTTCAGCCATGTCCACATACCTGAACTAATGGCTCAGTGGTGTTCCAGGAAAGAATAACAGAGCCCTATTTTCTACTTTTTCCATTTACAAGTTAGCTAT